AATCGCTTTCACAGGTCTAGACACGTGAACTTCTGGAATGTTGAGAGTGCTTCGCACCATTCATGGGTTTGGAAGTCTTTACTAAATCTAAGACACCTGGCCAAGCAGTTCGTGAGATGTGATGCCTATGCGGTAAGACATCAAGCTATTGGTATGACCACTGGAATGAATTGGGTCCTCTCATCGATTTTATCGGCTCAGCAAGACCGCAACTCACTGGTATTCCGGACTGTGCTCTAGTTTGTGAAGGTGCTCGTCGGGGAGAATGGATCTTTCCATCTCCGAGAACAAGAAATCCGAAACTAGCCTCCCTTTGACAACTCTTGTTGAATATGGCTCCCCCAAATCATTCACTTGGCCCTGGCAGTTACTATTGGTTTATTGAGGGAACCACCGCAACATTGTTCTCTACTAAGAACACTTGGGATAAGCTAAGACCCTCTAGTAGCGTTAAACAATGGGCCAAGTCTACTTGGTACAAGGGATGTATCCCAAAACATGCGTTCCACTTTTGGGTCTTACACCTTGATCGCCTCCCAGTCATAGCTAGACTGGCCTCTTGGGGAATGAGCATTCAACCAGCCTGCTGTACGTGCGATAGAGAAGTCGAAACTAGGGACCACCTACTTCTCCACTGTGAGTTTAGTTCCCAACTCTGGTCCATGATTCTTTTTCGTCTAGGGTCTTCTCAATCGACCTTTGTTGATTGGCACGAACTTACGAAATGGCTCTTAACTTCCTCCGGCTTTGTAAGCATCACTCTCAAGCGTCTTGCAATTCAAACCTTGGTTTATCACATCTGGAAAGAGAGGAACAACCGACTCCACAATTCTGTCTCCTCCTCACACACTGTCATCTTTAAGTTGATTGATCGAAGCATTAGAGATTCCGCCTTGCTAGGATTCACCGGAAATCTTTCCGGAACCTCCTAGTTCAATGGTTCACCTATGACTAGCAAATGCTAGTGTTCTCTCCTCCCCTCGTGTTCTCAATTAGGCTTTTTTACTTCTTTTTTTTGGGCCTTGTTGAAACTTATTGCTCCGCCGAGCACCTTGTAACACACACTTCCAGTTTTTGGTAAATTAAATTCACATCTTATAAAAAAAAAAAGCACACACATAATAACTTTCTCTAATGATCAAGTTACTTTACTTGTATATCAAGAAAGTCCTAAAACGGAGCAAAGAGAGTCACTGCATAGTGAAGTATACAAGCCCTCGAGGTCTCAAACCTTTTAGGTACAAGAAACTTGGACAGGTTCTAGTCCTCCTTCGAAGTACTAACATCATTTGCTCGATTCTCTCAAGAGGTAATTACC